TGGAAGTTTATAATGAGAGATTTGTTATATATATTTTCCAGAACCTCTAGTTGAACCAATTGAAAATGATTTATTATTAATTTTTACCACTCATAATTTTTTTTTTCGATATTCTAAAGAAATCAGTTATCGTAGTAAATTTTTCTTTTCTTAAGTTTTGGAACAAATTCAAAATCGATGAAATAAATGGATAGCATTGAAACGAGATAGATTTTTTGGGCTGGGATGAAAATTTTTTTTACGAATTTAATTCAAATTTAATGTCTGTTAGAATTTCAGAATTTGAAAGTGATGCATTTTTGGGTAATGGGAACCCAAAAAGGAATACTGTTTAAAATTCCCAAAATTTGTTAGAACTTTTAGAGGGTATTATTATTTTATAGTACCAAAATTTTGAGGAAAAAATGTAAATGATAAAATTTGACACCTGGGGCTGGATTCTTGTTCTATAAAAATAAGAAATGAAAATTTTTTCCTTTATAAAATTTTTCATTTGTCATATTTTTCTTTTATAAAAGTTCTCATTTCATATTTTCATAGAACAAGAATCCCGCCCCAGGTGCCAAATTTTATCATTCGAAATCGATAAAATTTCGATCCGAATTAACTTCAATGTGAAATTTTTGCTTAATTTAATTTTACATTTTACTAGAAATGACTAAATATCAAATGTTAGATTTGAACACCAGTTGTTTCTGGCCAAATTTTCAATTTCATAATTTAATTTTTTTTATCAATCTAGAATCAGCATGCAGAAATTTCATTCAAATCGATTTTTTTTTGATATCCAAGTCAAGAATTTGGCCCCTTGTTCTAGTGAGTTGTTATCTACCCCTTTTTATGGAAACCCTTTGTAAAAAACTCAAAACAAAAATTAACTAAATATTTATCCAATAATAATGAATTAAATGTTTATCCAATAATTCTAAATTTCCTCAACCAAATGGTCTGTCTTTCACTTTTTGTAACTCCTCTATTTATCTACATTTTGTGGTGGCGAAGTTAAAAAACCATTTTCATTATCCCCAGACATTTTAGAGTCTTTTGGAGGGTTTTTTAAATATTTGTTTTTTTTTTTTTCAAAAATAATAAATTCCATTTTGATTTATTTGATATATTTTTGTTTTGTAATTTGTTGTTTTTTTCATATTTTATTTGTTTTTTGTTTTATTTGTTTAAAATTAAACTTAGTGGCTAGAAAAATATATGCATATGTATAGGTGTAATTATAAGATATATATAGTTGTGGTAATTTAATATTTTACAAACTAATCAATAAAAATCTAATAGATATAACGAAAAAAGGGGGGTCTTATGTATACGAGAAAAAAAAATTAAATTAAAAAAATTAAAAAAAAAAATGGTAAACAATTTTTGTTTTTTTATACAAGACGAGTCTTTGAAGAAAATCTTACAACAGATTTGTTTTTTTCTTGTTTAGATTTTGGGTTTCTTTTTTGTTGTTGAGGTGAAAGGTAAGGTAACGCAGAAAGTTAATACAAAAAATCAGTGGTGGGTGGTTGGTTTGAAAAACAAAAAATTGAAAAAAAGAAATAAAAAATTAAGAAATTAAATAAAGTATATTACAAGAAAAAAAATTATATCATAAGAAAACATGAACGGTATATCAGTTTTGAATTTTGTTTTCATTTTGTGGGCATGTAAGATTTTTTCAAATCCAGTTCATCAATTTTTTTGTTTGGTTGTTTTACTTTTAAAGCATATTTCAAATGAATATTTAGAATATATACATATATGATATTTACAGTTTGTTTGAAAAAAATAAGAATTTAAAAAAAATCATAATTTTTATTTGTTTTTTTTTTTTACAAAATATTATCCGAGTAGTTTTTTGAAATCATTTTAATTTTTGTTTTTATTTTATTTTTTTATTTTTTTTTAGAAAAATGTGTCTTTCCAAGATCATTTTTGTTTTGTTATTCTTACAGATTTCTGTTTTGTATTCTTTAATGCATTTTTGTTTTTGGATTTGCTTTCATTTTGTTATTAATTTTGCATTTTTTTTGTGTATGGAAAGAGGGTTCAATGCAATGCAAATTATCACAATATATAGATTTTTTTTGTTATAATTTATTTATAATTTTTGTTTTTTTATTGTTTTTTGGGAGTTTTGGTTTTTAATATTTATAAAAAAAAGGAAAAGTTTCAATAAATTTCAAATCATAAAAATTTACAATATTTGTTTTGGTTTTAGAATGCCAAAGTGGTAAAAAATGAGTTACAGAGAGTAGTGAAAAAAAATAAACTTAAAACTCTACTTTTTTAATAAAAGTATGCATTTTAAGGTTAGCTAAAATTTTATATAATTCTAAATAATTTTTTTCTCCCATGAAGTTTGGAAAAAAATATAACATTTTGTTTTATACAAAAAAAGTAATAATTGGAAAAAGGAAATCTTAATAACTTACAAAAAATTATACACAACTTGCTTATATATAAAAATTTAATAAAAAAAATAATCAATTTGTAATAATAATATTTAAAATATAGCCAATTTTTCTTTTCTTCTTTTCTTAACAAAACAATTTTTTCTTTCATGACTTTCTTTTTGTTGTTGTTATAGTTGGGTTGGTATGAAATTTTAACAAAACAAGAAATCATTTTTTTTTCAAAATTAAATAACATTTTTTTCAAATTGATGTCTGTGTATGAGGGTTTCAAAATTTTCTTGTAATATCTTTTGAAATGTTTCTTAGAGAATTATTTCCTTTTGGAAACTAACTATCAACAATGAAATGTGGCTAAACATTATGTGATTGAGAGCATGGTGATAGATAGAGAGTGGGGGTGGTGAGAGAGAGAGAGATAGAAATAAAATATTAGGACTTAATGAGTCAGAGTTTTTCTGATTTTTTTTTTTTTTTTGGAGGGAGCTGAAAGGAGAAATCTATTTTCTTCATCTTTCATGTTTCTTTTCTTCTTTTTTGTTGTTGTTCTTGTTCTATATATTCATGTTTGTTTCCATATATGTTAATATGTATATATATAATTTATATCACAATACAAACTTAAAACAGTTACGACGATGATGATGTTGCAGCTGGCGGCAACATTGAAAATGTTGCTGGCCAACAGCAACAAAACTTCCAAACACCTACATAAGGGGATGCGACTATGTGCGCGCAACATGCCCGCTACTTTTTTCATTTAATCTTCAATCAAGCAATTTAGCAGCAGCATGTTTTTGTGTTTCTTTTGTTAGGTAGCTTTTTTGGGTGAGCAGCAGCTCTACGAGTTGCCAATTTTAAAAAAATAAAATCAAATTCTTAACAATTCTAACACAAAACAAACAAATGGCCACAAATAGGGGGGATGGATGAACGTTCCAGGAAAAAGTCGAACAAAATCCAGCCAGCTGGACAAAACAAACGTTGTGAATAAATAATAGAAAAAATTAAAAATAATGGCATGGATTTTGTTTCACGGTTTTTTTTTTTCGCAAAGATCACAAAATAACAAGGGATTTCCTTTGAAAGTAAAATAATTTAATTTTTTTTGGAGAAAATATCCCACACATGGGGTTAGCTTCTTGAGGCCTCTATACTATTAAAAAAAATATTTTTTTGTGGAATTACAAAATTCTTAGAAAAAAATATTTTTCTTTAAATAATTTAATAATTAATTATTTTTTTTCAATTAATTAACAATAATTTAAAACATATTTTTTAAAATAACATTTTTTGGTGAATTTTTTTTTTTAAATTTATAATTGTAATAATTTTTGGAATATTTTTTAAATCGATTTTTTTAAATTTCTTTTTGAATAATTTTAAATTAATTTTTAAATAATTTTTTTTTCAAGAAAATTTTCAAACGAATTAATAATTTAAAAAATATTTAAATTTTTTTTAATTTTTTTGATTATTAACTTTTAAAACATATTTTTTTAAACATTACTTTTTTGGTGAATTTTTAAAATTTAAATTTTTAACAATGTTGCAAATTTTTTTCAGAAAAAGTTTAATATTTTTTTTAAAATTGCTTTAAAAATATTTTTTTAAAACTGCTTTTTAAACACTTTTATAATTATTTTTTTTAAGAAAATTCTCAAAAAATTCATAATTTTAAAAATATGAAATTTTTTGAAATTACAATTATTTAAAACATATTTTGTAAATAAAATTTTGGTGATTTTTAAAATTCTTATTTTATCACTTTCAAATTATGTTTTAAGATTTCTTTTTTAATATTTTCTAGAAATCATTTTTTAAATATTTTTAAAAATTATTTTTTAAATATGTTTATTAATTTTTTCAATTTCTTTTTTAAAATTGCGTTTCAAATATTTTTTAAATTTACAATCAAACAATTATAAGTTAATTAATTTTTCAACATAAACATAACCAAAAAAAATATTTTTTTAATATTTAAAAATATTTATTTAATATTTAAAATACTTTTTTTATTTTAAATATTTAAAAGTATATTTTTAAATCTTTAAAAAAATATTAATATTACAAAAAGTATGTTTTAAATGTTTGTTTTTAATTAAATGATTTTCTTTAATTATGAAAATATTTTTTTAACTAAAAAATGTCAATTATTTTATTTAAAAAAATATATGTTTCTGAATTAAAAAAAAATTAAAAAATTATTATATAATTAAAAAATTTTTATTTAAAACAATATTTTTTTAATTTAAAAAATATCTATTTTTTTATTTAAAAAAGTATATATTTTTTTAATTTAAAACAAAAATATTTTTTTTTTAATTTAAAAAAAATATTTTTTTAAATTATTTTTTTTAATAGAAACATATATTTTTTTAAATTAAAAAAATATTATTTTTTAATTAAAAAACATATTTTTAAAATTAAAAGATATATATTTTTTAATTTAAAAATTATATATTTTTTGTAAATTAAAATATATATTGTTTTAAATTAAAATATATATATTTTTTAAATTAAATATAATATATTTTAAATTAAAAAAAATTAAATTGATTTTTCTAATTAAAAAAAAAAATCACAGAAAAAGCTATCTATTTCCAATTTTTGTTGGGCCTAGAGTTCAGTTCATCCATTTCTTTTTTAAATTATTTTACTTTTTCCACAAAGAAAAAATCCCTTCCTTGTTCATCCTTTTCCCCGTTTGGCAATTTGTTGCTATTCTGGCCTAGCTTTGCTTTACCATCTGTGTTTGTTTACAAACTTTTGTGTTGCATTTTTGTTGTTTGTTTGTTAAGCAAAAATTTGGTTTTCAAATTTTTCTTCTTCTTCTTATTGTAACACACAACCTTACAAAATTGTTTTGTTGTTGTAGTTGTTTTCTGTGTTCTTTTGGGCAAAGAGAGAGAAAATAAAAACATAACTTAAACTTATATTTAAGACATTGGTCCATTGGCTGCCTGTTGCTGCTGTTGTTGCAATAATGCCGCTGCATCATCATTCTGCTGCTGGCTGCTGCTAGTATTTTGATGTTGTTGCTGCTGCTGTTGTTCTACATTGGCAATATTTTCTGTTTGTGTTGTTGTGGGCGTGGCCGTGCCACTGCCAGTATTTGCTGCATTTATGGCAGCAATCTGTTGTTGTTGTTGCTGCTGCTGATTGCCCAAAGCATTGGTGTTGGCCACCACGGCTATAGCATTGGCCGCTGCCACTGTTGCTGCCGGTGGTGTTGGTGTTGGCGCTGCCGTAATCATGTTGTTGGGCGTTGCCGTTCCAGTTATCTGCATTTGCAGTTGTTGCAGCGTCTCCTGTGACATATTCGCCTTCAGGATGGTATTCTCAACCTCCAATTGATTGATCTTGTCCATAAGTTCGGAGATCTTTTCTTTGAGTACCTCGACCTCCTCGCGAACGGCGATCATCAAATGGGATTTGACGAGATCCTGGAAAGAAAAGGGAAAATATTTTATTAGCTTTTTTTTATAAAAAATAAATTTAGAAAAAAATATACATTTATATAAGAAAAAATAAAATTGGCAAAAATTGGTATTTTAAATTATTTGAAAAAAAAAAAAAAAAAAAATAAATAAAAGAAAATAATAAAAAAAACTGCAACCAACTTCAGACTCCTGTCATTTCTAAGCCACTCGTCCGACAGCTGTTAAAATTATTCCAGTGACAGGAAGAAAACAAGGAAGTGGACGCAAGAAAACAGTAACATCAGCAGAAATGGTTCGAAAAGTAAAGAAGGGACTTGACCGAAACCCGCGTTGCAGTGGCCGAAAAATGGTTCGTGAGCTGAACATATTGCAATATTCCATTCGGCAAATATTGAAAAATGAGCTCGGGGTAAAGCCATTGAAATTCCAAAAAGGGGCAACAATTTACAACCCAACGGAAAAAAAATAGACTCAAACGAGATCCAAAGAGGTCAGCTACACCTTCGGTTGGCCACCAGAACTCAAGCGCCGGCCATGGATGATGGTGTGCGCCTTTATAACAGCCGATGGTCGCTCTCGACCGTGGCATCAGAAAAAATGCCGAATATTATCGAGAAAATTTTCTGGAAGGTGCAGTAAAGCCTTGGGCACGCAAACATTTTCGCCGCAGACCTTGGACATTGCAACAGGACTTAGCGCCATCGCACTCAGCACGCCACCGCCACCGCTACCCAAGAATGGTTACAAAATGAGGTTCCTCGCTTCATTTCCAGCGCACCAAATGGCCAAAAAAATCTCCGGATACAAATCCTTTGGACTATTGTGTCTGGAGTATTTTGGAAGGCAAGGTTGGCACTAAAAAATACCAAAGTGTCGATCACCTCAAGCAAGCGCTTCGCCGGGAATAGGCCAAAATACCGCAGAGCAACATTCGGCCAGCGTGTGACGATTTCATTGGCCGTTTGATGGCCATAATTCGTGTCAAAACTGACGAATTCGAACAAATCTGAACTTATTCTAAAATTTGAAGCCCATTCCGACATTTTTTGCTTTCATTCAAAAAAAAAAAAAAAAATGGAAAAAAGTAAAAGCTGGCGTTTGACTTTGTTTTATTTTTCATTTTTTTTTGTCAAATAATTTCAAATTAAAATTTTTTTATCCTTAAATTTAAATTATTTTTTCTTCTTCTGCTTTCCTAATGACCTTGTTATACTTGGAAAATCCATACTTCCTTTTAAAACTTTAGTGCTGAGCATTTCATTCATTCATTCAAAAAAAAAATGGGTAAATTTTTTTTTTATTTTTTTTTAATAAATTCAAATAATAATTTTGTTATCCTTAAATTTAAATATTTCTTTTTTTTTTGCTTTCCTAATGACCTGGTTATCCTTGGAAAACCCCATGCTTGTTTTCAAAACTTTTTCGTTGAGCCATTTATAATTTTTCCAAGAAATATTTTTCCCTAACTTTTCCTTTTCTCCACTTCAAAATTTTCTTCTTTTGTCCCTTCTTAGAGGTTTCTTGGAGGTTTTCGAAATTCTTTTCTTAACCATGATTTCATTTCATTGGCCATTCATTCCAAAAAAAGCAAAAAGTTGTTGGCAGGAAAACAAAGCCATAAAATAAATGACCTAACATGAGTCAGCAAGAAAAACCTAGAGGGGTCGTCGTGGGGTCTTATGGAAAACTCGCCCGACAATATTTATTTTGAGGTGTTATTTTCAGTTTGGGTTTCTTCGTCTTCACTTGACAACAAAAGAAAATCAAACTAAAAATACGTTATTAAGGTTATGGCATTTTGGCTTTAAATTATGATGATGATGATGTTGATGGATTTTAGGGTATTGATTTGTAATGGTGGAAAAAAAGCCAGCCATCACTTTCGGTGGTAATTTTGCCAAAGGCAATATTTGGGTATTTTTGTTTTTCAATACGAAAAAAAAAAAAATAAAAAAAATATTGATGATGTTTGCTAAAAAAACTGAAAATAATAAAACCTTAACATGTAAACGCTGAAATATAATGCCTAACTCCCCATACCATGTCTACTGTTTTTTCATGGGTGATTCATTCATTCATTCCAAAACTGGGCTAATAGCAGCTGAAAGACTAAACCCAAATACTGAGAGTGGAAGAGAGAGAGAGAGAGAGAAAGTGACAGGGCGAAAAATATTGCGTGCAAATTTTGATGGCATTTTTTTTTATTTGCCATGGGTTTATATAATATTTATTGTGATAGTTGGGAAATGACTGGAAAATTAAAAGCGAACATTTGAAATGGGGGCTTTTCGTGGAAAGCAAAGCAAAGCTGAAAAAACATATCAAAGCAAGTGGTCTTTAATTATTAAATAATTCTTGGTAATTCATGTGAAATGCCAGCGCACAAAAACAAACAAAAAAAATAAAGGAAAAACATGAATGGGAAAACAATAATAGACAAAAAAATCTATGCATGCACATTTCATGAATGCAGTTTTCATGCCATTTTATATCAAAAAAATAAATAAATAAATAAAAAAAAAAAAACAAAAAAAAAATATTCAAAAAAACCCCCAGCAAATGTTAATGCCATAAACTAAGGGGCGAAATGCATGCACATTAAAAAGAAAAATGGTTGTGTTGTTGTTCTTCGTGGTTTTTGTTATAATTTTAAGCTAATATATATTGCAAACTGCACTTTGTTTGGTTATACTTGCTGCTATTGACACAGGCGTACAACAAGAGAAATGACATTGAAAATATATTATAAAATCGCCGCCCCACCACCAGAACTGGTGAAAGTATTTTCTAGAACTAGAATCATCATCACCACCACCTTAAGCTACAATTTGCCATTATAAAAATGCTATTAAATACCTAGGAAGAAGAAATGAATACAAGCAGAAATGACCTTAGTGCAATGAAAGCCAATCGAATTGTTGCGTAGTATTTTTGCAAAATGTTGCATTACCCCGTTGTCACATAAAACCCAAGACGATGAGGCAACAATTAATTTGTCCTTGCTTAAGCATGCTTGAAAACAACAACAACAACAACAATAGATATTATCTAAATATTAGATAATAAAGAATATTCGACCTTTCGCAGCACATAATTCACATTGAGTTAACATTAGAATAGGGCATTGTTACAGAGGGGGCATATGTCAACATGTTGCTGGGGGAATTTTGTATGAAAGAAAATTTTTGAAATATTTTATTTTTCCCACGGAAGTTAAATTTTCTTGTTTGAGTTTAGTTTTTCTTTAAAAAAATATTTTTTGAATACTAATTATGTTACCCTTATGATTGTAGCAAAGATGCATTGCAACATGTTGCTGGGGAAATTTTATAGAAATTAAACAAAAATTGTTGGAATATTTTATGTATTGTAATGTATTGCAACATGTTGCTTTGGAAAATTTATTGCAATGAAAGAAAAATTGTTGGATTTTTTCCACAGAAAATAATTTTCCTATTTGATACGTTTATTTTTTTAAATATATATTTTTTGAATATGCATTATGTTACCATTTTTTTAAATATATATTTTTTGAATAATCATTATGTTACCAAACATACACTGCAACATGTTGCTGGGGAAATTTTGTATGAAAAAAAAAATTATTGGGATATTTTATTTTTCCAAAGAAGTACATTTTCCAATTTGACAAGTTAATTTTTTTTAAATATTAATTTTTTGAATGCTCATAAAGTCACCCTTAAGATTGTAGCAAAGATGCATTGCAACATATTGCTGGGGAAATTTTGTATAATTGGCAATGGAAAAATTTTGTTGTAAATTTTAATTTTCCCATAGAAGTTAAATTTTCTAATTCTATAAATTTTTTTTTTTTAATATATATTTTCTTGAGTACTCATAATGTTACCCTTATGATTGTAGCAAAGATGCATTGCAACATGTTGCTGGGGAAATTTTGTATATAAGGCAATGAAAGATAAATTGTTGGAATTTTTTATTTTTCCACAGAAGTTACATTTTCCAATTTGATAAGTTAATTTTTTTTTAAATATTAATTTTTTGAATGCTCATAAAGTTACCTTTAAGATTGTAGGAAGATGCATTGCAACATGTTGCTGGGGAAATTTTGTATATAAGGCAATGAAAGATAAATTGTTGGATTTTTTTATTTTTCCACGGAATTTAAATTTTCCTATTTAATAGGCTTCATTTTTTTAATTTATATTTTTTGAATACTCATTATGTTACCCTTGAGATTGTAGCAAAAATACATTGCAATATGTTGCTTGGGAAATTTTGTATTAACAAAAATTGTTGGAATATTTTATTTTTCCACAGAAAAAAATGTTGTAATTTTTAATTATTCCATAGAGGTTAGCTAAATCGAAAATGTTTCCCGAAATGCCTAATTTTTGTCAATACACATTGAATTGGCTATATGTTTGATTGCTGTAAAGATATATCGCAACATGTTGCTGGGCAAATTTTATACACAATGCAATGAAAGGAGTATTTTTTTTAAACTTTTTTAATTCTCTCTCCAGGAGCTGCATTTTTTTCCCTCTTAAGATACATTTTAAATGTTTTCCCAAAATAATTTTGGGTCATATCATTGTCGCAAAAATACATTGCAACATGTTGCTAAACGAATTGGCAGGATTTGGAATGCATTTTGGGCATTTTGTGGCCACGAAATATCATTAGATAGTTAATCAGACATCTTTCGAAAATGTAGAATGGCTATTGAGATAATATTATTGGTTGTAAATGTTGCAGTTAGTATTCGCAACATGTTGCCGAGGAATTTTTCTTTAAAATGCCTCAGCAGATTTCTTTTTAATTTTTTACTTTTTCCCATAGATAAATTTAAAATCCTTTTCGGAATAACTAATTTCATTTCAAAGAAGTTTGAGAGATTTATTATCTAATAGCTGCATTGCAACATGTTGCTAATCAAATGGGGAAGCATTGTAATGGGGTTTTTGTCAATATTTTAATGTTTGTTCCCGCAAAATTTTTTTATATACTAATCTACGCAAGTT